GAAGGGATGGACAGACACAGCGAAGGGACAGACAGACAGCGAAGGGACAGACCGACACAGCAAATGGACAGACACACACCAAAGGGATGGACAGACACACCAAAGGGACAGGCTGACACAGCGAAGGGACAGACAGACCCAGCGAAGGGACAGACTGACACGGCGGGGGGACAGACAGAGACAGCAAATGGACATACAGACCCTGCGAAGGGACAGACTGACATGGCGGGGGGACAGACAGAGACAGCGAAGGGACGGACAGACCCAGCGAAGGGACAGACAGACCCAGCGAAGGGACAGACCGACACACGGAGGGACAGACCGACACGCGGAGGGGCGGACGGGCGGACACCCACCTTGTTGGTGCGCGGGTTGAGCATCAGCGGCTTGCCCTTCTCCTTGGTGTGCAGGCCGCGCCGCGCCAGCGCGCAGGGCGCCGCGGCCGCGCGCACTCGGGACAGCATCCTGCCTCCTGCGCCGCACCTGCGGGCAAACGCAGCGTCAGGACCCGCAGCACTGCCCCACGCACCCGCCTGGCACTGCTCCACCCCGCAGAGCGACGCCCCAGGAGCGCCCCGTGCAGCCGGGAGGGCGCGGCGAGGAAGGGCTTGGAACGCCGACGGCCCTCCCTCGGTGCTGCCCCGCGCCACCCTGGCACACACAAAATGCCAGCAGGGATTTTAGCTGTCGCACGTGTTATGTGTGGTAAATGGAATTCGTGACATTCCTTGTATGAAGTAATTGGGTATGTGAAATAGTATTGGATACTTGTTAGATTATGCCTGTTGTATTAGTCCCCCCACCTCTGAGACTGGGTGTGTATTGGAAACTGAGTCACAAGTAAAAGGATTGGCTCAGCCAGGAGATGGGCCATGGCTGGACTCCAGGTGCTGACAACTGGGACTCCAGGTGTTGATCATCAGGACTCCAGGTGTTGATCATCAGGACTCCAGGTGTTGATCATTGGGACTCCAGGTGTTGACCATCGGGACTCCAGATGTTCATCAGGACTCCAGGTGTTGATCATGGGGACTCCAGGTGTTCACCATCGGGACTCCAGGTGTTGACCATCGGGACTCCAGGTGTTGATCATCGGGACTCCAGGTGTTGATCATCAGGACTCCAGGTGTTGACCATCAGGACTCCAGGTGCTGACAACTGAGACTCCAGGTGTTCATCATCGGGACTCCAGGTGTTGATCATCGGGACTCCAGGTGTTGACCATCGGGACTCCAGATGTTCATCAGGACTCCAGGTGTTGATCATGGGGACTCCAGGTGTTGACCATTGGGACTCCAGGTGTTGATCATCAGGACTCCAGGTGCTGACAACTGAGACTCCAGGTGTTCATCATCAGGACTCCAGGTGTTGATCATTGGGACTCCAGGTGTTGATCATCAGGACTCCAGGTGTTGACCATCGGGACTCCAGGTGTTCACCATCAGGACTCCAGGTGTTCACCATCAGGACTCCAGGTGTACTCCAGGTGTTGACCATTGGGACTCCAGGTGTTCACCATTGGGACTCCAGGTGTTGATCATCAGGACTCCAGGTGTTGACCATCGGGACTCCAGGTGTTGATCATCGGGACTCCAGGTGTTCACCATCAGGACTCCAGGTGTTCACCATGGGGACTCCAGGTGTTCACCATCGGGACTCCAGGTGTTGACCATCGGGACTCCAGGTGTTCACCATCAGGTGCTGATCATCCCATAAACGTCCCAAGATGGATCTCATGGAAATCCTCAGACAGATCCATGTGAATGCAGCCATCCCGTAATCTCATCAGGGATTCACCTACTCCGGACACTGAATTATTCCTCCTCATCACCAAAAAAGAGAATCTCATTAACCGATGGACTCTGAATGGAAGAAAAGACTGATTGCTGAAATCTTGGCCTCGGGTGGAATTTTCCCTATAAAAACCCCTCGTGCCAGGCTGGAGGTGTGTGGGCATGGGGAAAACCTCTGCTGAGGTGACTCCTTGTGGCACACCCAGGGCTGACCCCAGGCTCGGCTCTGTCTTTTTCCATGGCTGGCCAGATAGAATTTGACCACTAATAAAATTATTTTTTATTTTTAATCTGGCTGAATAAATTCTCATTTATAACACACGGAAATGGACAGTGGCACAAATGCCTGCCAGGACAGCAGGTGCAGCCACAAAATCCCCACAGAGACCCTCTGGAGCTCTCCAGCAATGAAATCTCTGGGCCTGGACAACACAGCAGAGAAACTGTGTCTGTCAGCATTTTAAAACTCTGCTACAACAAAATGTGGAATTAAAATGGCCAAAAACTCCACTGAACTGTGGATTCCAGGCTTATATTTTTACAATCCCAAACTTTAGAGATATATTTTCAGAGAGAATGTATCCTTTAAAGTAAAGGAATTTTTCCTAAGAGAATTAAAAATCATTAGTGCAACTCCAGTTCTGGTCCTGACAGGCGTTAGCAACTCTTGAACTCATTTGACGCCATTATCGATCACAAGCTCTTTGCAGAAGAAATTCCCATTTATCACGGGCTGGTACACGGCAGGACCAGCAGGGAATGTGCACTGGACTCGTCTCCAAGGCAGAGAGACAACGGGAAGCACACAGAGCTCGCCAGCACCGTGCTCTGTGTGGTGACACAGGCGGGGGACAGGAGAGGGGATGTCACCCCCCAGCTACACACCCACAGCCCAGACAGGCAGGGACACTAAACAGGGCACGAGACGTTTTTCAGGAATGAAATGATGCACGGCTTAGATTTTTAATTTCTTCCAGATGGGAGACGAAATTGAATTAAGGAACAAAACTTCATTATCTTAAATATCGCCTGAATACTTAAGAAGACCTTTCTATAATCAAATTTGCACATAATCAGCTTCTAAGACGGCAGACTGGTCTTACAGGTTACGATCTGAGGATTTTCTTGCAAATCTTCCCAAGCATTGAAAAAATACGGCAACATTTAACATTTTTTCACCACCAGTTACGCCCAAGTTTCTCTTCTACCCAGTGTGAAGCGTAGAGGGAAGCAGCTCTGCATCCAGAAGCATCCCTTCCTCCCAACCTTTCCGTGTTTGTTTAGGCGTGTGAATGACAAAAGCTCCACTCAAACGCCTGTGTTGATTTGTTTTGGGGTAAAGACCATAAATTTGCTGCATGGAGTGCGACAGGAGGCACGGGAGGAAGCCTTGCCAGCAGCACAAACCAAAGTTGCCTCCGACGTGCTCGTTCCTCCCCAAACCTGCTAGCGGTGGAGCGAGCACCGCTGGCCTGCCAGCGTTTGGGAAACCAGCATCAAACCAGGGAAATTAATGCAAAACACATTAGTTTTGTGCTGCCTTTAGGATCAGCAAATTCAGTTTTAACCCGTTTTTGATCTGGTTGCCCATCTGCCGTCGCCACACGGCTGCAGGGGATCCCAAAAAGATTTTGTCACATATCCAGTGTCACAGCAAACCCCCTCACAAAGTCCCGTCAGCCTGGTGCCACCCTGGCGCCAACCTGTCACCACCAACACCTAGAACAAGGAAATAAAAAGTAGAACAAGCACCACACCCTACCAAACTCTAATTAAATTGAAATAACTTTGGTGCAGTTAATGAGCACTTAAAAACCAAACAAGACTGTGGCTGAGAGTCACCTGAACTCGATCATTAACTGCAGAGGGCAGAGGGAAAAAGACTTTTCAGAGAGATACAAATCTTGCTTGCTTCCCTGATGTGTGAGAGATGAGACTTGCTCCTCTCCGAGGTGTCACACCAGCACCTAAAATTATTCTCTTGATGGAGGTATCTCAGATTCGTAAAAGGGGAGAATCAAGTTTCATTTTCCACTGAGCCCTGTGTTTAGATCCAAGAGGGATGATCCCAGTTAATTTATATCCATCACAAAACCTGACTGGCCGCTCAGCCCTGCGCTCTCCCTCCCCTGCTCGTCTCATTGTTCCCCGTTTCTGTTTCATTGTGCCCACTTCCTCCAACTCCTTTTGTCACACACTTTTGAACGCGCTTTGGCAAGGGTTTGCCCCCAAAACCCGCCTTCAGGACCTGCCCTGACCCCGCAAAGCAGGGAATCCTTCCCCGTGCCCGTCCGTGCTGCTCTGCAGGGCTGCCGGCAGCTCTGCCCGCACGGCCGTGGCTCTCTGCGACCCAGCCCAGCCCTGCTGGCCACCAGCCCTGTCCCCCGGGCTCGTGGGGAAGGACAGAGGGACACGCAGCCTCAGCCCTGCCGCCCACGTCTGCTAGTGCGGGGGAAAGGCTCCCTAAAGGTGCCCAGGCCAGCACCTGGTCTGAAGGAGATGGAGGGGCTGGGCTGTGCAGCTCTACACGGCTCATGATGGTTTTGTAGGAGACAGGCCAGGCTTGAGAGGGTGGCAGTGAAACCAGAAAAAACAGGAGAGATCACTTTGGCAGTGGAGGCTGGCAGAGAATCCCAGGGTGGTTTGGGTGGGAAGGACTTTAGAGCCCATCCCCTGCCATGGCAGGAACACCTTCCACTGTCCCAGGCTGCTCCAACCTCATCCAACCTGGCCTGGGACACTTCCAGGATTCTAGGGGCAGCCACAGCTGCTCTGGGCACCCTGTGCCAGGGCTGCCCACCCTCCCAGCCAGCAATTCCTAATTCCCAATCTCCCAATATCTTTGAGAGTCACAGAACCATGGGATGGTTTGGGTGGGAAGGGACAGTAAAACTCATTTAGTACCACCCTCTGCCATGGCAGGGACACCTTCCACTGTCCCAGGTTACTCCAAGCCCTGTCCAGCCTGGCCTGGGACACTCCCAGGGATCCAGGGACAGCCACAGCTGCTCTGGGCACCCTGTGCCAGGGCCTGCCCACCCTCCCAGCCAGCAATTCCTAATTCCCAATCTCCCATCTGTGCCTGCCCTCTGGCAGTGGGAGCCATTCCCTGTGTGCTGTCCCTGCCTGCCTTGTCCCCAGTCCCTGTGCAGCTCTCCTGGAGCCCCTTGAGGCCCTGGCAGGGGCTCTGAGCTCTCCCTGGAGCTTCTCTTGTGCAGGGGAACAGCCCCAGCTCTGCCAGGCTGGCTCCAGAGCAGAGGGGCTCCAGCCCTGGGGAAGGGATTTGAGCTGGAGGAAAGAGCAGCACCTGCCACGGTGTGAAAACACACACAGAGGAACGAGGCTGTGCAGCGTCCTGTGAGGAGGAGTTAGGAAGAAAGCAGCAGAATTGAATGAGGAATAAACACGAATAAAATAACCAGGATCTCTGCTCTCCCTTCAGTGCTTGACAATGGTGGGAACTACACGAGGCTCCAAACAACTGGGAATTTTTGAGCTGCTGTGTCACAAATTAAGGGGATTAAATCCTTCAGCACACCAGAGGACAGCTCCCCGCTGTGCCTTATCAGGAGGCATCTGCCCGGGTCAAACTAATTACCAATACGCACAAGCACCCTTATCTGGGAGCAAATGTTCTGCTGCTCCAATTATGGATTTGTGAAATGGCAAAACCTACTTTCAAGGGAAAGGTTCATCACGCTCTTAAAAGGCAGAATGAGGCTGGCCGGAGAGTCGGGAAGCTCAGAGTCAATTAAAGCAAGGCCAGCTTCAATTACTGCCAGGCTGCCTGACCTGTGGGTCTCCCTCGGTGCCAAGGAGTGTCAGCGCGGGCACAGCAACTCGTGCTGCATGACTCTGCAGTCTGCCTGCACCCCGCAGGCTGGGGGAACACAAGTGCATGTCCAGCGCTCCTCAGATCCTGTGTCACTGATTCCTTTCTTTCTTCTACAGAAACCAGCCTGTGTTGGGGAGCTTTTTTTCGTATTGACAAGCTGAAATCAGTAATTCCAGGCTGTGGAGGTCCCACAGAATTTCCAATCTTTTAGGCCTCACCCATTTTTAAGCCAACAGACGGTGTCTCCTGTGCCCCCTCTGTGAGCCTGCACCACCTCAGGTCTGCAGTGGATGCACCGTACACTTTATTCTCTTTTTCTTTTTTTTGTTTCAGTAATAAGCAGCCCAGCCTGGCCCACCCAAGCATGACACAAACCAACAAACCAGGCACACACCAGCTGGCTTCATCACTTCAGTAATGATAAAGGAGCCTAAAATTATTCCATTAGGCAAGCACGGGCTGTAAGTGTGTCTCCCCAGGAGACTTCCACCTAAAGAAAGCAGCTCTCCCTGCACCCACCACCCTTCAGCAGGCCAAGGAGTCGCTTTTGCTCCAGAACAGAGCATCCCAGGAGGAAGGAGCAGAGGGCTGAAGAGGGGGGACATGGTTCTGCACAGCAGCTCTGGCTCCCTGAGCTGGCCAGATCCGCTGCTGAGGAAAGTCAGCAGCAAACAGCGGCAAAACTATTCCAGGTTCCCTCCAGCAAAGCCCCGGGCCACCACCTTAAAGGACATTTCTAAGGCACCTTGAGATCTGCAGATTAAAAGGAACAGTCACGGGCAGAAATTACTAATGAAGTGTTTGGCAGAGGCAGGCGGGTTATTTTGGAAGCAGATCTTTAGCATATTGCAATGACTTTTCTTCCCTTTCATTCTGAGGCAGCCAGTTCAACAGGAAGAAAAGTTAGGCGTGGAGCACCGGGGCAGAGTAAGCAAGTTCACTTGAGGCTGGAAACGTTCACTAAACAAAGCACACTTAGGTGAACTCAGGTGAGAATTATTTCAGAACGCTTTCCAAAAAAGAGTATTTGTCAATTAGTGCAATTTACAGTACTGTCAGGCTTCTTGCAGCACGAGCAGAAAGTAGGGCTGAATTGTTTGGTATTGGAGTTTTGGTTCGTAGCAGTCAGCATTTTTATACATTTATACTTTTATACATTCACTGACCTAAATATTCTGATTCTTAAGAACCAGGAAGTCCATTATCTTATGCTGTGGAAACCACAGCAGCAGTATTTTTGGCCAAGTCTGACAAAACGTACTGACATACTTTATTTATTTTAATTTGTGTGACTAGGTGGGCTACTGGTGGTAAAGGCAAGGACAAAGACCTTATCCTAAAAGCCCTCAGAAGCACTCCAGGAATACGCAGGAATACTCATGCTGTATTCCAGAGAAGTGGCACGCCCCTGTGCTGGAGCTGCTCAACCCAGAAGCACAGATATATTTTTGGGATACAGGCTGAGGAGTGGACAAGGATGTTCCCAACAACTGCTGCACTTAGAGATGGGAATTCTTCCTGGGAAAGCAACTCAGCACTGAGCACAGAGAAGCCAAGCAGCTCAGTGCAGGTGAAGCGTACGCCTGCCAACCTCTTACAAACCTCAGCTTGTGCTTTAAAATCAAATACCCCGCTTGAATTACAGAAAAGCCTGAGAACCCATCCATGCACCACGAGCTAGCAGAGCCGCTTTGGTAGCGGGGAAGGCGCTGGCACCTCTCGTAAAGATGAGCAGTTAATTAGTACTCACTCACCACGCGCTCTGACAGCTCCCGTCTTAGTTTGCAGAGCAAAAAGCTCCAAACCCTGCCGGCACTCAAGCTGCTGACTCACGGGACACCGCACAGGATTATCAGAACTTCCCTCCTGCGACTGTAACACACGGTTTCTTCTAAAATACAGGCTCAGGTTAAATTTCTACAGATCTCACAGCGTTTAATAAGGCATTAGACGCTGCTGGCTGCACACGCACACGGGCCACCGGCAGAGCTGCACACCCCGCCCAGCTCCTTCAATTGCCCACGTAGAAAACCTCCCTTTGACGACCACTACTTTTAGGAATTACCAACACGAAGACACCAGATAATCGACATTTGGTGGTTTCCACCTAGGCTGGCGCAAGACCGTCCGTTTGCACGCCGCGCCGTTATCAGCGCGCTGCAATCCGGCTTGGCGTTTCTCCTGTGAACTGCGCGACTCTTGCCAAGGCACGACAGCCGGCTGGCTCGGACAACACCCCCCAGCCGGTGTTTTTTAGCGCAGCGTGCTCCGCCAGAGCAGCAGCCGGGAGGAGGCCAAGCCCGGCAGCAACCCCGCGGCGCTTCCTGCTCCAAGGCCGCGCCAGCCGCCCCGCTGCTTCCCCACTTGCACTCCGCGGGGAAGTCCGGGCAGGTCGGGCCCGCGGGGTGGGCTCGGCGTGTCGCCGTCCCGACAGGGTGAACACAGCCGCGGTGCCCCTCCGCGGGGCCCGGGGCTGCCCCCGCCGCAGGCCGAGCCGCGGGCCCCGCCGCGCCCCACCGCCGCTTCGGCGCTGCCCCCGCGGCACACGGGGCAGCGCGGGCGGGCTCCATCCCTCCCCGCGCCCCGGCGGCCTCCCGCCCCTCGGAACGCCCCGCAAACACGGCGTTATAGAGAGGGAGAGGCCTGTGGTGCGCCGCCGAAGCTGTGTGGGGGTTACCAGAACGGGGTCTGCCTCCTCCTGCGGCTGCTGCCCGCCGAGCGATGCCGGCCGAGGACCTGTTCCTACGGAGCGAGAGCAGCGCCCGCCCGCCGGAGCTGCGTCCACCGCAGAAGCCGCCACTGAATGGAGCCGGCACCGAGGCGCCGGGGAGGGACACCCCGGGAGGCGGGTGTTGGCCGTGACTGACAGCTGAGGCAGCCAATAGAAGAGCAAGAAGCGCGCAGGCGACGGCGGCGTTTGGCCAATGGGCGCTTTACCCCGCCCCCGCAGGGGGGAAAGCGGGATGGGCGCGGCGGGGCGGGACCTGGCGCAGGTTAATTGGCTGGCGAGACAGCCAATCAGCGGCGAGGGGCGGGGCGAGGGGCGGGGCGGAGGGCGGTGGGAGGGAACGGGAGCGGGAGGGGGAACGGGAATGGAATGGGAATGGGAACGGGAATGGAATGGGAATGGAATGGGAATGGGAATGGGAATGGGAATGGGGATGGGGATGGGAACGGGAATGGGAACGGGAATGGGAATGGGAATGGGGATGGGGATGGAATGGGGATGGGGATGGAATGGGGATGGGAATGGGAATGGGAATGGGAATGGAAACAGGAACGGGAATGGGAATGGGAATGGGAACGGGAATGGGAATGGGAATGGGAATGGGAATGGGAATGGGAATGGGAATGGAAACGGGAATGGGAATGGGGATGGGAATGGGAATGGGGATGGGAATGGGAATGGGAATGGGAATGGGAATGGGAATGGGAATGGGAATGGGGATGGGGATGGAATGGGAATGGGAATGGGAATGGGAATGGGA